ATATATATAAAAATGCCAATTAATGTTTTGTTCTTAGAAGTATCTATGCCAAAGAGTAAATCATAGTCCTCGTAATTGCTGGTCAGAGTTCATCCAAAAAGTCCGCTACTTCTATTAATAATTATATTTATAGTTTAAAATAATGATTATATATAAGACAGTTTTTCCATTATCGTTTTCTGCGTTTGATAGATTTAAAACGTATGTGTTACAAGTAAGTTTATTAGTTTATTGAAAGAAATCTTAAGTCATTCAAATGCATATAATTAAAAAAAAAATTAATAATACAGTTAATAAATCAATTTTAAGTATAATTTATTAATTACAATATCATATGTGTTAACTATAAATAAATTATACTAATGAATATGCATACCGATTTGTAGAGTTAAACTATTTCTCACGCTCTTTGTTTATATAGAGTGTATTCCGTTTCATGCATATGCGCACATTATCTTATTGCATGTTACGTGTACTATAGAATTATGGCGGATCTCAGTCACTGCGCAGAACGTGACGAAACTTGTCCGAGAAACGAGCACACCTTATTACTTCCACCATGCGTACGGCGCTTGTTGGCGAGCAACCGACCCGCTTGCCCTCCGATCTCACGCCTATTCCGCGATTCAGGGTGCGTTCCGTTTCTCGCATAGAAAATTCGAAGCATAGAAAATCGTTCCGTTTCTCTTCATGCGCACTTGCTGCATGCATGATCCAACCCAATTGTTCCGCCTCTTCCGGTGCATGAGATCGCATGAAGTGCCCTACCTCGCGAGCTGAAGCACTTCATGTAGCTAATGCATTTCGCGCGAAAAACGAACAAATGGTATCCTGGTACCACTTGTTCAACATAATCTGTTAATTTTTCACGAGAAATTGTTTCTCTTGTGTTTCTTATCATCAGAATATCAAACAACGTGGACTCAGTTTCGTCTTGAAAGTGTATCACCTTTCATCACTGCTTTCATCACTTGTAAAACAAGAATCTTCTTCTTTTATTGTAAAAGATGTAACGGTAATTAAAAAAATTATTTGTGATTTTTTTAAATTGTCATCCACGCTCTTCTTCTTTAGCCTCTTGCACAATGCGAGGAAATAGTGATAGCGATAAGCAATAGACACAGAATTCCAACTCGTCGGAAAATTTATCGCTATTGCTTATTTATAAATATAAACGTTATTTATAAATATAAACTCTTTAAAACTGGTGTTATTTCTATCGCTATCGCTATTTCTTGGCTGTGTTCAGTTAAGCAAGATGGAACGAACTAATGCAGGAAATGCAGGAAATACAGGAATTGGAACTAATGAAACTAATGAAACTAATGAAAGAAGTGAAGATAGTGAAAAAAAAGAAGGTTGGCTCCCCTGATCTGTTGCGGAACATGTGTAGTGG